TTACTCAGGATCCTGCAAAAGTTACTCAGGATCCTGCAAAAGTTACTCGGGATCCTGCAAAAGTTACTCGGGATCCTGCAAAAGTTACTCAAGAACCGACAAAATTTACTCAAGAACCTGCATAGATTTTGCAGGATCCTGAGGAACTTTTGTAGGATTTTGCAAAAATCTAAATCAGTTTGATCCGTTGGAATCATTCTCCACCCTTAGTGACTAAACTACTCTGGTTCCTTCAGTTTGAATGGACGCTGCTCATCTCCAGCAAGTTTAAACCAAACCACAGGTTCTCAGTCGGACTGAGTTGGGTCTTCTCTGGGATATTCCAGAACAATTGAACTGGTTCTTAAAATGTGTTTAGGGTCACTGTCTGCTTAATTTAAAATCCCAATTAAATCCCAGGTTTTAAGGCAACAAAATCAAATAGATTACTAAGAGGAGTTAATATTTTTTCAGATTTCTTTATCATTTCTGCAGCATCAATTCCGGTTGGTTTATTAATAAGAAATTTATTTGTAATTCCTAATGTGCTGCTGTGTGACTGTACGGTGGATGATTTTTACCATGATGTTTGTTTATTCTCATAAATCTTAGCAAAAAGACATGAAGCTGTTGGCAGCAGGTCGTGTGCAGATATGACAGAGATGTGTGTGTGATTAAACTGATCACACACTTCAGATTCAAATCAAAACGAGAGCCTCGTCGTCCATCTGTGTGATGCCGGGAACACCTGAGCCTGGAGGAGTGGGGTCTGTGTACGTGCTGGCTGTCACCTGTAATCTGACTTATTATTATATAATCTGACTTAGTATTATATTAAACAGGCTCTGAGTTAGATTTAAGGTGGCAGCCGGCGTCCCTGCATCACCATGTTCAAATAAATAGCTGCTCTAAATGCTTTTAACTGAAAAATAAAGATGAGCAGCGGCAGAGCTTTTTTTTCTTAAGATGCTGAGTTTTGGATTAGAATTTGTACGTTTTTGTACCTCGTCTGCTCCCTGAGAAAAACTCATGTCAGAGGTGTGTATTTCAACCTGAAACTCCTAAAATAAACGTATTTATTTCAAGGTTCTCCCTGTCATCCGTCTTGTCATTTGAAAGAAGCCGTCACGATTTTGCTCGTGAATCATCAGGCCTTGGTTTACACGGATACAAAGAGACAGTCTCTTGGATCTGACTCACATGGTCCTGTTTTTTTTTTAAAACCATTCATCTCTTCACTGGGGAAGCTACTGCAGCCAGTGGAGCTCATGTCCCACAGAACAGACCATCCTGCCATCACTGCAGGGATAACCAGCAGGCAGAGAGCTGTGGTGACTCTGCACCTGCTTACATCATTCTGGGGATAGAATTTACAGAACAAACTGCTGTTTGATGTGAAATGACTTTATTCATTAATTAAACCATCACAGATTGAACTATTAATTAACTATTAACTATTGTTAACTAAAGTTAAATATAGATCAGGAAGATTTACGTCTGTATTTTAGAAACACTGGAATGACTGCCTCCTTAATGGTTAGAGATTTTTATGTATTTTTACTATTTTATTATTGTTTTTATGTGATTTGGACTTTGAGTACCCACCCACCCTTTCTTTCTTTCTTTCTTTCTTTTTCTTTCTTTCTAAATTTCTTCCTTTCTCTCTCTTTCTACCTTTCTTTCTTTCTTTCTTTCTACCTTTCTTTCTTTCTTTCTTTCTACCTTTCTTTCTTTCTTTCTTTCTTTCTTTCTTTCTTTCTTTCTTTCTACCTTTCTTTCTTTCTTTCTTTCTACCTTTCTTTCTTTCTTTCTTTCTTTCTTTCTTTCTTTCTTTCTTTCTACCTTTCTTTCTTTCTTTCTTTCTACCTTTCTTTCTTTCTTTCTTTCTTTCTTTCTTTCTTTCTTTCTTTCTACCTTTCTTTCTTTCTTTCTTTCTACCTTTCTTTCTTTCTTTCTTTCTTTCTTTCTTTCTTTCTTTCTTTCTACCTTTCTTTCTTTCTTTCTTTCTACCTTTCTTTCTTTCTTTCTTTCTTTCTTTCTTTCTTTCTTTCTTTCTACCTTTCTTTCTTTCTTTCT